AGGGTGAGGAGTAAGTTCCTGCACAGAGGCCAAAGCACATGTAAAATGCGGCACAATTTGTGAAAGGACTAGCCTGGAGTTACATTTTGGCGAAATACGGAAAGGAAAGGAAAAAGGGGTAGCACTGGGAAAAGTCTGGAGTGCTCCCCCAAATGCAGCTTCTTTTCTGTCACAGAGCAGATGGGAGTGAACGTGCCCCTCTTTGAGAAAGATGGGAGTAATATGGACACTTCTGTCACTTTTAGGAGGCGGGACACCCGAGAGGTGAGATATACAAGACAATGGCCTCTGGCGCAGGAGGGCTCCCCGGGCGGGCGCCCCACCCCGTGCCCCGCCCCTCTCGGAGCCCTCCTTACCTTTGTGGCTTGGATTTGATCAGACACCCTGGATATTCCTGGGCTAGGTTCTTTGAGAGGAAAAAGACCACCAGAATCAACCGGTCTCCTCCTGCATCTACTCCGAAGCCAAGAAACATTACAATAAAATTTACAGCGCCTTTTAACATCTCACAAGTAAAGCATTAAAATTCTCTTTAATTGAGAAAATATTGATTCTTAAGTCTTGAAAAAGTGAAATCGTAATTTAGCTGCAAACTTTCCGGCGAGAATATAGCGCATTATGTCGCCGTATTATGGATCCACCCTTTACCCTCATATGCAACATCACATCTTTAACTGCGCTACTTTATGAAGTGATAAAGACAAAAGACAACCCGACTTAGGCAAAAGCTTAAAATAAAATAATAAAAAAGAGGACCTAGAGTAATTTCCTTTTCCAGTTATTTATAAAAGAATTGTCTTTTTCTGAAGCAGGAAAAAAAAAATGCCCAAAGGGGAGGAAAGAAATAAAAAGAACGGAAAACCAAAGAGCAGTCTAAAAGCAACTCACATTAGCAAATCCGTTGATATTTTTTTTACCAAAGGAGGAATGAAGTCAACACATTTAGAGAAAATGCATTCACGGGCAAAAATGCATCCTCCTGTAAACGAAACAAACCTGGGTCTATTTCCTTATTTTACCCCCACCCCCGTCCTTTTTTGGTGGGGTAGGGGGCAGAATCCATTGGTGGATAGGGAAGGGAAAGAAAATCAGGCTTTCTATGTTGTTTCTGTATCAGTTTTTGGTATCATAGAGGAGTAAAGAAGTTTTTGTGTGGTGGTTTTTCATTGATCAGTCACTCTGAGCTAATGTAATTATCCTCATCAATAGGAGGCTGCAGAGAGAATCATTATGTGGGTGACATTGATAAATGATCGCCCAGGAACGGCCCTCTCGCGGGCAACCCCCACATCTGACCCTCCCACACACACAATGTAGTCATAGAAACACCTCCAGAGCCGCGAGCGCCGCCGCGGAAGGGGCCGGGGATGGAAGAAAAGCCCGGGCGGCCGGGGTGGGGGCGGGGGTGAGCGGGGCGGCCGGTCCCAGGTCCAAAGCAGCCCCAACGACAAAAACAGCCAACGGCAGGCGAAGAGGCGGGAGCTGCGGGAGGGAGCGTCCCCCTTCCGAGCAGCAAACCCTCGCACAGTTGCTCACAACAAAGTGGAAATCCGCCCTCCAGACGGACCCATTCCTCCACACCTTTTCCCATGTGCGACCTCACCACCAACAACATCTGATGTTTGCCGAGACACACAGTCAAATAGGTTTCTCCAAAGGAGTTAAATAATTAGGTTACAAAACCTGTAGGCATCTCGTTCTCATGCGGGTTCCCTTGTTCGAAAAAAACCCCAAACAAACAACAAACAAACCAAACCCATCTGAACAAAGGCAGCAGCTGGGCAGCGCGCCCCCCCCTCCCCATTTCCCCCAGTTCTTTACTGGGCGACCCCTTCCTTTCTCTTCTCAGTGCCTCTGATTATGAGATAATGGATTTTGCGATTGTTCCTGTCAGGGAGAAAACATCCCACCAAACCCCACGTTTTCATCTTTTGACTGTTTTATTTAAGCCAATGGGCAAGTATTGAGAGCAGTAATTGATTCATAATGATCCATAAATCGATATCGGAAAGCGGGGGTGGGAGGGTGGAGGTGTATGAAGAGTAAGGGGTGGGGGGCGTTGCTGTTTATTTATTTTATTTCTAAAGCTTCAGCTAAAGTAGCTTTGACACTGTCTGGCTGGAGGGGAGGAGCCGTGGGGCTCTGCCGGATCATCCATCATCGCTGTCACCCAGAGTCTGCCCCGAGGAGCCGTAGACGCGATCTCCCTTCTGTCTCTGCACCGAAACTATTAATATTAAAACCTCTCTTCAAACACTGCCCCGACGGTCTCCATTCCCATCACAATCTGACCGGCCTCCCCCATCAGACCTGCATTTTCCTTGCGCCGCAACTTCCCCCCGGCCCTGGCGGGACCCGGGGAGCTCGAGGACCTGTGCGCACGCCCTTAGTTGATCACCGCAACCGTTTAGGTGGCCCTTCTCCCACTCACACCAATGCGAAGCACTCCTGCCTACCTCTGTCTCACACACACGTACAAAGGGAAAGCCAGGTGAGAGCAGGGACACCGCGCGGAGTGGGGAGTATGCACATCCCCTTCCCCTGCCTTTCCTCCTTCCTCCCAGGCCCCCCGACGCGACGCGCGTCCGCACCCACCCACGCAGCTGGGTGGGAGCGGGGGGCGGTGGCTGCCAAGGGATGGCCACTCGGTACATCCACACACCCAGACACTGGCCTTCCTAACATAGTGGCAACTTGCCGCGGAGGTCCGCGCTCCTTATCAAATTGCGGGCCTGCAAGACTAATGGGGAACTTGTGGAGGCTGCCTGTCCAGGCCCTTTGAGGGAAGGTCCCTCCTCTGACAGCTGCTAGAGATATTAGCCACATTTCCCTTCCCAAGCTTGCTCTGCGTTAACAGGCCCTGGGGGCGGGAGGGGCGAGGAGGCCAGGAAGATCCCGATTGACTCCTCTCAGCAAATCTAACTAGGGTGAGCTGGGGGTGGGGGTGCTGACTTGGGGGTGGGAGGGAAAAGAAGGGGAGGAAGATACAGACTTTCCTGGTCTTTTCTTTTTCCTTTAAAATGTGGCTTCTTGCTCAATTCCAAACCCTTAACAGATGGCGACTGCAATTCTCTCAGAATTTCTTAAAGAAAGGGAAACCTTTGGAATTTATTTCTGCTTTTGCTTTTCCATATAAATAAAAAGTGTTTTTATGTTACTCTTGTTTTGGAGAACATAAGCAATTTTACTCAGACTACAGTATTTCCTTTAACACTATATGGTTGTCAAAACACCATTCCCAGTTTCTTTGCTTTTGACAGCTGAGTCTTTCTTAAATATACCCAAATCGGAACTCTTTATACTAAATAGTAAACCCGAGATAGGAGCAAGTGCCTTCCGAAGGGGTATAAAAAAAAAACCTTATAAAAATTGGACAACTCCACAACCTTTCAGTCTTAACACATGGGGTCGGATGGTGGGGGGCGGGAGTGGCAAGAAAATGCGAGCAAATATTATTACAATTGTTACTCATCTCCAAATATTTAAGAGGGTTAAGGTTAATGTGGTAGGATGTGGATTTTTTGAAGAACTTAAGCCTGAGATGATGTTAGTCATTAAAACCAAGGGTAAAGAGCTCTGGCATTAAACTGCAATGAAATACCTTAATAATAATAATAATTTCGTTCAACATTTCTTACACTTGAGCCAGTGACCGAGTAAACCCATTAGCATTTACTTTACTGAGAAGACAGGAAGAAAAAAATTGGCCCTAAATTAATTCTGATGAGACTTAATTTATAAATGGAGAATATCTACTTAAAAGAATTTAAAGTAATAATACACAAATATTTAAATATTGCAAGAAGACTATGTGAAATGCAATAACAAAAATGACAAAAACTCTTTTCTGATACAAACTTGTTGTTAATGGGGAAATTTGGTGCCACTTGGAAATGCTATTGGTATGTTCAAACAGCAGACACGTTAATTAAAATGAAAAAATGTGTTTATAAAAATCCTAACTAAAAATAATACAACACATTAGAAGTTTATTTCCTTGTCTCTTTATATATAACTTCTATTAATGTTTTCTGCCATGAAAAGATGGCAGTACCTCAAATAAGGTACAAACTTGGGTTTCTGAGATAAGGAACTATTTCCCTGTCAAGTTGACATCACGTAACTAGTGAATGTTTATGACATTATCCTTTCTAAACAGAGGATTCAAAATTCCAGGATAGTGTATTTATTTGAAAAATTGAGGGGACATGCAAACACCTCAGAGTTTTTTTTCATTTTGCACATTTTATAGTGGGCATTGTTTGTGTAGTGGCCGCAAGCTAATGACACAGATTTCCAGGGATGTTAAATTTTTTTAAATGGCATTATATTGCCTGTTTTGTTTTGAGAAAAAAGAAATTAAGCTTAGTCACCAAATCATCACACCTGCATGCCTGTACTTGGAGGTGTCTGAAATAAAAAGACATCATAGCATAATTTATATTAAATATTAATGATTAAGTAATATTTTCAACTAGGATTTCAAACTCCATAGAAGTTGTTTACTCATCTATGAACATCTATATGTAAATTTAATTTACATATTCAACAGTATTTTAGTAAGTAAGACAGAGAAAAAACACAGGCAGATGAATTATCTTTGGGCACAGACGTTAGTTATTTCTTACAATGTAAAATTAACCCTGAAAAAAACCCTTTATTCTGGCAGAGGATGAACATGAAAAGTTTTATCTGAAAGTATATTTTAAAGATACTGCATCTAAAAAGGAAGTTGGACATGGTGAAGGTGATCCTTCAACCAGCTCATAGCACACACACATACACATACACATCATTTCATACCTTTAGAAGTTTTCTGCTGGTAGAATTTATAAGCCAAGTACACACTGAAAGTCTACAGATGGTTACTTTAAAACCTGTTGGTAAGTTTCAAATATACTCAATTGCTAGGGACAAAATCATCAGCTACTTTTAACACCATATACAGTAGGCCTTGTGCAACCATGCCTTAAAACTATTAAAAACACAAAAGCCTAACAAAAAATCAAAAATGAAATATTTATTACCGCATTTTGTGACTTAACACCTTTTTTTTAACATAACATCACAGTCCTCATACAAGTATTTTAATGTAAATTTGACAAAGCTTAAAGGTAACAGCATTTTCTTCTAGTGAGGAACACGTGCTGAGAAAAGAATTCATGGACATACAATACCAATTCCACAGCAGATCTGATACTAGCAAAAACATTCTTTTTTTTTTCAATTGAGGTAAACACATAGAATATCTAACATGAAACAATTAATAGACTGAACTCTGTACGAAGTTTGTTACAGTATTTTCTTGCTCCTTTTTATCCCCCAAGCTTTGAGTTTCTGATAAAGTCCTAGTTGTGGTGCTCTGACCAGTAATAACTTTTTTGTGTTGAGGGAAGCTGCCCAACTTAAGATTGTTTTGTCCACAGCCAAGGCTAAGAACTCTGGAAGAAGCTCCTGCTGTCTTTAAATCTTCATTGGCAAGCTCTTTGCAGAAGAGTCCCCCAAAATAATAAGAATTGGCTTATGAAGCACAAACTATAAAGATCTGTTTGAAACTAAAGGACACATTTATGGAGGAACAAAGGCCGGGCATGA